TACTGCGCTGCGAAGACTTTCAAACAATGAAGTTTATGTGAATAGCTTAAGAAAAGTAGTGAGTTTAGGTAGGCCACCACATAACTACTGACTAGACTCAAATTGGTCACACTTTAAGTACACAACGATTGCAAGCTATGGTTGTACATGGTTATTGGTTATATATAGAAACCTGACAACCCACAAGGCTTCAACGAAAGATAGTCGTGAGTTCAAGGAATCTCAGCATGTACAACAACCATGACTGTAACAACAACATTATCTCCAAAACTCGAAACAAGTCATGCCCGTCGGAATCGACAGAAACCACAGCAACATACAGGTCTTAAACGGGAAAAAATGCCCGAATAAATAGTAGAGAGGAAGGAAGACGGTGCGAGGAGGGATTATGTCCATAGGTACACCGATTGAGAACAAAGCACCCGCATCTGCGTACTATACAGAGAAAAGATGTCATCAGCGTCAGTTGCGAACATTAGAGCATACGCCTGACACAATCGGGATAGGAGGTAACAGGATACTAGCTACATACTGCAGGGTTTCCAGAAACGTATACGGAGAATCACGAGCGTCCGAGCAAGGAAGGCGCGAAGAAACAACAGCAATCAGCTTGATTGCAGCCACTTGCATTTCGCGTTGTCGTAGTATGACCCCTGTGAACTGATACCGGGGACCCATCGGAATGGGTAAGCTTCGTATTCATCTACTCAAATTCGACCGTTGATGGTGCTGTCCGAAGAGTAGGCTAAGCTACCATGAGTGGAGCGCATCAATGTAAACAATTGCTTAAAAGGTCTAAGGACGACCCATTGCAACAGTTATAGCGACACAAAGCTTAGTTGGTCAGTAAAGAGGATGTCGGTGACTCGATAGTCGTGAGATTATTTCCAATGCTGAACAGCATAGTTACAAAATGTTTGCTCACAAAATGGGATGAACTAAGTACTGCAGTGTGACGAAGAAGTGACTTGCTCACTCAGACTGAGGTTCGATCACGAGTAAGCAGTCCTGTTGGCTAGTTCAATCAACCAATGATTAAATCCATTAAATCTGACAGCTTCAACAGCACTAGACCAAAGAAACGCAGTAGAAGGGATGGCATGTGAGTTCTCCACTGCTCGTATTTCCCTCACAGTAAGATTTCACCTCGCATATAAGACATCGACCCTTTTGACCACGACATTTCCTCTCCGTGTATCGAGTTTCATCCAAATCGGTTCAATGATTTGGCTGCTGTCATCTTACCTAGCATATCCAACCCTGAGTCGTACAAATCACAATTTCAACCTGAGCTGTTGGCTGCATCTGCCGTGAAAACACTACATGAATCTACCACGGGTGCACTGGCTTCTCCCAGTGATGATTTCAGCAAAAACCCGATACTGTCCCCGACCTTCACCCTAGAAACATTAACATGGACGGACCGAAAATACGCGACTGTTTGCTAAGCTCGTTCACTGCAGGGTGAACAGACTTTTGAACAAATGAACCCACCCAAACGGTGATAAGATGAGCGAAGCGGGCTGATGTATCGTCACATCATATAGAAACTGGGAGCAGCTGGAATGCTTCGGTTTAAAGCAATTCGACAGCGAGTTGTGGCTTGTGTAAATCCGGTACCACGATCAAAGACTTGGTTTGGAATCCGTCGAGCAGTGAAGTCGTCCACAATATGCACTTGGTTGGGAGTAGATGGGTCTACATTTTTCAACCACTCACGAGTCCGTATTATGCCACATCTCTCTGTGAAATTCCTGAAGGGCAAGAACTTTTGCCACAGGATCTTTAGCGAAATCATGCGTTGAGAACACCTTAGTCCATTGAAGAGGCACAATCGTTTTGACCAACAAGAAATTTGTTCAAAACGTAGATTTGCCGGCTAGTGGTTCCACCCCCCGCCCCACACACACACTCGGAGTTTCGTGAGATGCGCACTGAATGAAACATCTGTACAGTTTTTCTCGCCTTTTCAGAATAGATTAGCTTCATTTCCAGGATGAAATATCAGTTGAAAACTGCTCAGTCTGAATTTTAACATAAAATTCATTCGTTGCGAAATGAGTGATAAACTTTTAGGCTTTTCCGGTCCTCAGATAACCGCGCAAACTAAAAAAGAGCAAATGTTACACACCTAAGAGCAAGACCCGGCAACACAAACCGAAAAGGCACTAAACATCTTGTCGCCTGTAGAGCACGTGTTCTGCACAGGACACCAGACCTCATTTAGCAACACTACTTATAATTGAATGAATTTCCACTGAATAAACTGCATATGACATGCCCACACTCACCATCTGAACCGACCACTGCTTCAGTTTCGAAACGTTTCCATTACAATTCTCCAAAGCTGGCAATAAGCAACTAAAATGAAAAGATAAAAGGGGGGTTGTACAAAAGAACACTGCGAGCAATAACGGAATCACAATGGTTACAACCCAACCAGGCAAAAGACAACCGCACGCTACACACAGCGGCATGTAAAAGCAAAACACCCAACCCCAAAACATCCCGAAATTCAACCAAAGAATCGTAGCAAAATCGCGTGTCATTTAGTTCAGTGATACTCATCCAGATTCATAAAATTCCACTGACAAAGCTGTCAGGAAGAAAGATAGAACAGTATAACGGAAAATGATTTGCATTTGAATTCAAAGTCGGTCGTATCCATAATGAAGCAGTTGCTCTCAATAAAGTAAGTGTACTGACAAGATACACCTTGGTTAGACGTGTCTGGGGTCAAGACACAGAAAATCTACACAGAAAAGGTCAAATAGATAGGATACAGATCGATATCCGATGGATAAATTCATATGATTGGTGAAGAATCTGAACTTGATTGTGATAAGCGCTTTGAAAGGGGTAATTCTATTATCGTTTACATATATTTAACTTGGAAAACATCAAACCCGCATAGTGCCTTGTGGGATCAGAATCTAGTTACACGTCTGTCTGCACAGTAGTGTGAGACATAGCAGCCTAACGAAATAAATCAGTTGTTGGCAAGGGCACTTAAGGAAGCAATGTCAGATCATAAATAGAAGGAAAATATTCGGCTGTCGTTCCGCGCCAGGGTAGAACTTGTACGCCACCTGAAGGATCATCATCATCGACAACATAACATCACTGTTTGACATTCATGCTTCACTGCCGAACGGCACGTCGGCCAAGTAAGACAGCTTACAGCAAAAGAACACAAAGGGTTGGTTTGAGCCGTAGAATGCTCTCAACAGCAGCTCGCACCCAAATCGTGGATTCGCTTCGAATGCGACATCAGCTAGTTAGTCCAACTTTTCGGTGCTGAAGGACTGACGGTCAGCATGGGAACATCGATTGCGTAATATGGAGGTACGTCGAAAGCTTTGTGAGAAGTAAGTGGCTGAGGATAACCGGACCGACTACAGTCTGTGTGTCGGTCGACAGATTGTCTCATTCGCTTCGCGCAATTGTTTGAAAGTTCAGGACTAGGTATCGAGTAAATAGAGCCCCTAAGCGCATAGTGGAGTCCATTGCTGATCATCTGCGTGTAGAGTCTATGAGGTACATCAGCGTGTAATGGCACTTGTAGAAATCACTGTGACACACTCGATGTTACGCTCCTGAACTCTAGAAGACTCAGCGGTTAAAGCATAAAATTAATGGCCGGATACTTTGTGGTTTGAGCCCAACATCAGCAACTCGACTGCTCCCGTCTCTCACACCCCGTGCATCCTTCGGGAACCTGAAGGATACAACTACTGAACGACTGTGATTATTATTATTATTCCTGAGGTAAAGATGTCGTACGTATGTGAAGGCCTAATCAACTGAGTGGAAACCCAACGTCGCTACTTATTAAGTAGCCATACCCTGTGTATGACCATTTCACGTTGATCCTCCCGGTGAATGAAACCATGGCATCCGTAACGAACACACCCTCTAAATCGTTGCAGACTGGTGACCCGAACATCCCTCAATCCATACAATTAGTGCGAACTTGATGCAGTAATCTCAAAGGAAGTTAATAAAGTACACAAGCTAAAAGGTATTCACAAAGATTTAGCATTCCTTAAGCTGCACGGATTGAAAAGATCAACTATAACAGATAGTTACGGTAAGTAGCCGGATTTCGTATAGTTCCATCATCCAAATTTAGCATTTGATTCAACAAGGAGTTTAGTAAAAATTACTGGACGAAATACTTTATCTCTCCTACTCTCCGCATACAGACTCCCTTTTTGGTGTGAAAGTAGGAACTGCGAGCTGTTCATTCCACCTCCCTACCATAAAGCCAACAAAACACCCTCACGTACTCGCGATGAAAGTAGAGTAAATCAGGCCAATTCGAAAGCAGCCAGTTCTGACTCTCGGTCATGAACGGAGGAGCGACACCCTTGTCCGGCTCAGCCGAATGTTGAGTGGACGGAGAACTCGGACAAGGGCCCAACCAGACAACCTAGATGAAATGGGGAGAGAGCGAAGACGCTGAGTGGATGAAATGATCAACGGAAATATGAAAAATATTTGGTCACGCTTGTCTATAGCTTAAACTTCGTGCCCTGAATAGAGAATGTCCGCATGAAAAGAAATGGAACTTAATTCGAAACGGTCAGTAAATAATTACCACACCTGCTGAACAAAACAAGAACAAACCAAGCTAAGCCCTGCAGACGGGAGTGATGACACCAATGAAAAGACTTCCGTGCGACCAGTACCAGCTCGGTGACGGATAGAAGACTACCGGCAGAGTAAAGTAGACGCTTTGTGAGGTAGACCTTTCCATTGTCTAAAAACCACCTAAAGCAGTATGCATTGTTACAGGTAGAAGAAGATGAGTCATCCCATATAGGGAAGATGAAAAGGCAGGGTTGGAAAAGGCCAGGAAACCACATTCCTAGGGGTTGTATATCACTACAACAAAAGCGACACAGGTGTGTGTGGTTTAGTCTTGTTCGGTAGCCATCAAAACCCCCTCTGCTGTCTGTATGATCTAAGCATACGAATGGGCCCCACAGGAACATAATCGTAATTCAAATACTATGACGTGTTTTGGCGCTAAATTCGGTCCATCATTCGTGGAAAAACGTTCCGCATAAAAAAAACATTACCTTGCTCAGTATGTGCACCCAGTCCGGTTTGCCCGTATTCGTTAAAGATAAACTCACCAAGACCCTTACAAAGGATATACTCAGATAGCTCTCGGAGATGCACCGACTGCCCAGACATAAGATCAAATCGATTGCCGTCAACAGCAGGAGTCAGTAACACTACTGTGAGAAAGCCGGTACATAACTGTCAATTGTCGGTTAATTTTGTCGAAGCCCAATGATGGAAAGAACAGAGCGAGGAAAGAAAAGGAACCTTAGTGCTAACCAGCTTCAAACATACAAGGCGAATACAATTCCAACAGCCGCCCACATGATTTGGATGGAGACGGACAGCACAAAAACCACTGACATCCGTTAATAGCCGTACTTTGCAACGCCTCCAGCGAAACGTTGGGTGGGGCGGGGGTCAATGACATTACAACCCAAACGAACAGAAATCACACAGCCTCAGGGAAGCATGCAAGCCGTGATGGTGACAGGTTGTTCAGAATACTTCACATATCACGAAACGACACCAACAGCGAAGATAATCCTTTCGTCTCCAAGCTCACATTACCAGTAAACATCACGTTGGTTACAGTAAATAATCAATACTCAAAGGTCATGATTAATAAAACCGGTGCGAGCAAGGCGTGAAATGAATAAGTGCTAGTCCGGCCTCTCCAAAATCAACGTCCATTTCTAACCCAAAGTGTTATGTGCAGAAACGGTTTGCGCAGAGATAGAGAGATGAATGGCCAGACAGTTAGTTATCAGCCCCATATTACTATCCAAATTTACGGCAATTACAACAACCGTTACTATGTTTTGTCGATCTTAGCCAGCTGGATGTTCATTCACAGTCAGTTCTAAAAATACTCAAGATAGCCGATGAAATATCATATAGTGTTACCAAGTTTATCAGGCCGAAATGGAAGCCATCAAACTCTACTCCCGGACCAAAAAATAAGTGCCGCTTGCAAAAGATAGAGAGTGACCAAGACTGCTTTCCGGCTTTCCACTAAACTCTCCAAACCGCCTCACAGTACCAACAAACATTAGTGGTGTTAATATCCATTCGGAGTTCCCGTCAAAGTCAAGCCTCCAAAACAGAATTCCAGATTCTTGAGCCGAAACGTGAATAGTTCACAAAAGGATCTTCAGAACTGTCCGCGCTGCTCAGGTGCGTGTTAAGTGATTAACGTTAATATGGTCATAGCCCGATCAGAAGGGCAGCCAGGGGAGCAACAGAATGGCAAAGAGACCGCTCGACAAAGCTGGTGGCCTGGTTGAATGAGACGTCCAGAAGAAAAAAAGAAATCGCAATCTACTTCAACATCGAAAGAAGTTGACAAAAACTGCTTTACTGCGCATAACGTTGGGTAAACACAGTGGCGTGTATGTGCCACATACACAGTAACGGGTTTCAAAGCGCCCGACTAATGTGACAGATCCAGGGTAGGGTGACCGTTTTGTTAAAGACCTTGCATATGTAAGACGCACCACATTCAACGCAACACCAGCGATGTTATCCTAATCAAGGCTCAGATGGTGTTTGCAAAGCGTGCGTCACGTGACGCGTCGATCGGTAGTAGGCTATGCTAAGCGACATAGCCTAAAGGAATTTCGGTAGGCATCATCATCCTTTATAGAAAAACATCGGCTGTAAATATTGGCGCTTGACTGCCGTACAGACATGGGGAGAGGAAAAGACAACAAGTCGGGACTTACTGCGGAAAAGTTTCATGCAATTGTGGAGAGGGATCAAGAACACACCACCAAAAAGCATTCAAGCAAGCATACCTGGGAATTACGTCGAAGTACGAAACGGCCAGCGACATTGATTCTCCATACTTTGTGAACCTCACCAGCGTAAGTCCAGTGCATAGGGCTGATGAACATTAACTAATTAGTTTGGTTAAGAAGTGACAACAACCTCTCAGTGTCCCCCAGCGTCTCCATCCACATGCAATAACCATTACGTGGGCGAAAGCGAGGAAGACGCAAACAGTCCACAGAACGCAGTTTGGCTGTAGCCATTTTCGCTTGGAATCCGGAGTTTTATTTCTACGTCTTTTTCTCTTAAACATACACACAAATTATGAGGTGGTCAACAGCAGATTTGAATGTGATTCCAACGCACGTCGTCAACTGTTCACCCGAGCGTCCGGGTGTGATTTGAACCCTACAAACATCTCTCCGAAAAAGGACTTGAGAATGACATTTTGTTTGGGCGACGGGCTGTCCGGCACCCCGCAAAAAACTGATCCACGGTGTAATACAGGCTGAGTATCGAATCCCGGTAGTCAGTCTCCTTTTACCAGACATCCCACTATAGGATGACGATGACCACGTGAAAGTCAAATGACATTTGTAAACATCGACTACTCGACACATTATTCTATTCTACGAGCACAAAATCGGGGCAGCCCTGAAGTGATTATAAAAAGACGATGAAACACTGGACCAGTCTAGTGGACGCACTGAATGTGCTTAGTACTTGATAGTTCTAAATGATACGCTGGAAAAAATTATCGGGACCATCCTCAGGATATTCAGTGGAAGGTTCTGTAATCATAAAGTCTAGGCAGAGAAGGGGGTTTCATCAGAGGAGTGATTCGTGTAGAATCGGCAAAGGATGAGGTTCCCAAAAGACAGCTGTCCACTCTAAAGTCAAACGCATTAAAGGAGGACTGTTTGCTTCAAGTGCATCGTGAAGAGTAGTCTGTTAAATCGAAGTGAAAGTTATGAGAGAAGAGGTGTTTATTACAAGAAGACGAAAGATGATGAGACTTGGAAGGCAAAACCTTCAAGAGATCCAGTTATAACGCATCGATGTCATCAACCTCTTACTTTGTTGTGATAGGACAGGGCATAGGATGTAACTCACATCATAGACGTGTTGAAGGAAATTCACATAACTCCGTTCGGTATCTACGAGTTCTTCCCAAGCCATCCGAAAACGTCGGGCGGGACTGGCCAAGATACTTTCCGATTCTGAACATGGTGTTGCAAAATCCGTCCTGACCAACAGTGCTTGATCCTCCACGCGCTCGGTGAGCGAATGAGTGGGTGAGACTGGAGTAGAACCGACCAACTGCAACAGGTAACCAAAAAAGCTAACATGTAAACAGGGAATTGATTACGTGTGCAGTGAACGGTATTCTCTATCAAAAAAAGATGGTCCAATCTCCCAGCGGTACTTGTTTGGTTTAAACATGTTGCAGTGAAACTAGTAAACTAGTCACTCCACCTACAACAACTGCAACTATACATGTGAGTAAGAAGATATAGGCTGCTCCTACTTCCAAGGTACAGGCACCTCTGTAATAGGTCCCAATTTACTTGGCCCATACTAGGTAAGGTATGTTCTGTCATTTGGTAATGTGAGGGCGGATTCCTTTTCAGGTAGATGGTGGTGTGTGTGTGTGTGTTATAGTAGCTAAAAAATGCCTCAAAGTGCTCTGTATGGGTATTCAAAATAAAATACAACAACTTCGGTACCTCCAATGACTGACATAAACACAACTGAACATACAACAGAATAGAAAAATGACGATGCGAAAAAACCGTACCGACAGTGTGTCCAACTTTTTGTCGTCTACGCTGGACATACGTCCAGGTAATGAGGCCGAACTGGAATGTTGTCGCGGAAAACTTGTACGAGAAATGTGCTGGCGAAGCGTCGCAGTTGCAGTCTGGCATAAGGAGCGCACCACCTCCATTTCCAACAATAATTTCTCCAGCTGTTTCTGTTACGGACGAAACAAACGGTGCGGAATAATCAGCAGAAAAAGGCTTAGATTACTTATGAATATCTAAAGCATGAGTGATTAGTAATATCTTCAGGGTAATCTGATCCATAACAGATAAGTATAAGTTGTTTACCAATTAATCCAAAAGTGTAGGAGATTACTGGATTTCCGAAATTTCAGTTCAAAGCCTCCTCAACTTAAGGAGGCTTTTTGATAGAATAAACGGTTAAAGCTCAGAAACATCTATGGTGCCAGGTTTTCTTAACTTTAGTAGGAACAACATTAACGCCCATAGATGAGCCGTTGCTCATTCCCGAAAGGGCGATTCCGCTCGAAATAATCAAGGAATTTTGCTGAAACTTCCACAGTATATGCAATGTGCACGTATGCCGTACACGCTTGTACTGGATGAATCGTCAGAAGGACTTTAATTTCACTCCTAAACATGATCCACCTTAATATTGGGCTGTCATCTGGTATAAAAACTGCGATCATTTAGTTAGCTGACTAGCTGAAGAAATTTGGGCTTGACTGTACTTTATAAGTTCTTTTGTCCCGTAATAATCCTATCGGGCTCCAAGTTTACGGCACATTATCTATGAATTACAATCCAAAGCTCAGTGTCCGTGTACTTCATCATTTCACTCTGCGAGCTTAATAAAATCCACTTAGCAATTAGTTTTGCGGAGATATTCTGTCTTCAACGAGTTGCGTGAAACTTGCAGATGTGAAGCTTCAATAATCGGTCGACACACGAAAACGCTTTCCCACTCAGTCACAATCGGCTTTTTCTGGACAAACACGTCACGTTACGCATGTGGGCCTCCCAAAAAGAAATCGGGGTCCCGAATGTATGTGTGTCCCAGGGAAACGTGCTCAAGAGTGTCTCGAAAAGTTGATTGAGAAAATAACTCAAAAGGCTTACACGAAGCTCTGGGTTCATCACGGTTGCAAAGCGCGTTCGAAACTGCTTAGGGCTGGTGAGCAACTTCAAGGTCTCCTCACCAGAGTTCAGGTGGTGTGCCAGTTCGTCCAATTGCTTACGACATTGCGTCAAGTCCCAGTCGATGAGCTTTTCACTGGGAGTAATCGACTCACTGAGGGAACGACCATCCCGTATCCATTCACGAGCCTAAAAAATAAGTACGGGAGAAACAGAGTGACCCAAAGCTGAGCAAAATCGCCGAGAATGCTGACCTTTCGTAAACGAAACGGAAATAATGGTGATAATAATAACCGTTCAGCTGCAACACCCTTTCGGTGCCTGGTATCCATGACACCCGAAGGAAGCAGGAAGGATGAGATATTGTCAGTGGGACAAAGCCTAGACAAGAGTAGCCTAGATGCTCGGGTTAGATTCGAACTACAGACCTTCAGGTCAGAAATTCCGAGCCTAAACCAGTGAGCTATTTCGAGCTCGTAAACAAAGCGTAGCACCCCAAAACTCGCAATGTGTTGGGACGGTTGCTCACATGGACTCTATTACCGAGATTCGTTAGGTAGTTGAGACGCAGTAACGTTTCAACCGTATGCTCGATCAGCTTTAGGATGAACATGCACCAGGAAGAGTAGTCTAAGCGTAGTGGTAATCTGGAGGAGGAAAGATGCTGTCACCTGAGAATTCGGATAGATGCTCAGAGGTGATTCCCAGCCGGTACAAAGTCTGGAGACCGTTGTACGCGTCGAATAGGGCATTGATGATGGTGAATTTCATTGTCAACCAAATCACGTTCTAGCCAATTTACCGGTATCTGCCACGCCCAACGATTAGAAGTAACAGATGTCTTCCAATTGAGTGGCTTACAAGTGAAACCCATTCGCGAGTAGTCGCGTTAACGGTGGTCATGCTGAGTTCCACATGTTGGATATATGGGATCTATGTGGACTTCAGAACAAGGTGTACCTATGCCTGAGTGTTGGCAACAGAGCAAAATGTTGGTTGCTCGGGTGCATTGCATCATCATCATCATCATCATCGACAGCATGACATCAGTGTTCAACGCCGATGCTTCACTGCCGTACAACCATGATTTATTTGAAAGCCTTATTATTGTAAAGAAAAGGGTAAAGGTGGACGGGGAAGGGACTTAGTGCTAGCTTACCACAATCATTCCGAGGTGCCTATACCTCCAGACATTCACTCAGGCAATCTGGATAGAAACTGACAACAAGAACACCACTGACATCGGTTGGCAGCCATATCTTGTAGTATCTCCAACCAGGCACAGTGAGGATCACGCGGGCCCCACCCTGGAAGGCGAATAGCACCGACAGCACCCAAGCGTTTCGTGATCTCCTTCATAATCCTCAGACAAGTCAGGGGTTGGCCACCTCTCCGTTTNACAAGTCAGGGGTTGGACACCTCTGCGTTTACGGTACTCTGAATTGGGTATGGAAAACAGCACTCACTTCGGCAAATGATGGTTCGGCATACGTAACACATGTCCCAACCAACGCAGCTTCTGGTGCTGGACACATTCTTCAAAGGAAGTACTCGTTACACAACCGAATACGCGCTCTCTAACTGCCTCGTTACGGATTCGCCGACCAAACCACACGAGCTATGGTTCTGAGACAACGATTGTCGAACACCTGAAGACGTCTTAATTCCGCTGCTCGAATGAGCCAAGTCTCACAGCCATACAACGGGTGCGCTGGATTACTGCAGAACAGGTGGCTGTTGATTTGCTTGTCGAGCTTGGCAGTTTTCTTGCAGACGTTTCGTCACCACTGGCGTGGACCCACCGAAACGTGCATTGCTGACGTTCCCACGATAGTTGACGAGACGTCTACAAGCTAATTACCAACTTCGGTGGATAGATCAACATCTATCTATCCGATCTACAACCAATATGTCTGTGTGTATCTCAGAACAATTGCTTCCAGTATCGTGCTGGTCACGGGATGAGACATAAGGAAACAGTAATCAGAACAAGGAAGCAATGTGGTCCACACTCACATTAGCAATTGTACTGAACAACTCGTACATCCGCCCGAACTTATCTAAAGTTTCCGGGATTTTTACGTTGACCAGTTCAAGCATCTGATCAAATAGGACAATCCAGTGGTCAGCGTTCGGGGGTAGAACCAGAGCAGGAAGGTCCGGATCGTCAGGCTCCTCAACAGCTTCTGTGGAACTCGCATTGCTTTCGTCATCACTGTCGCGATCTGAATCCAAGCTGAATCGCGTAAGGGACTCGATTCCACGCACGACTAAAATGCGGAAATGGGATAAAGCATGATGTAGGAAGATGAATACTCTTCAGTCAAACCACCGGCCTAACAACAAACCACTCTCTATGATCATGCACGACAATGACCACTTACACAATGCCACCAAAATTACCCAGTGTTTTCCAAGTCAGGGGGGAAGTACTGTACTACCGAAGAGCAAGTTCACCGTTACAATCTGATTAAAAAATGGAAAGTTGTTACGAGAAAAGGAAAGACACCACAGCAGTCTGTTTGATTGAGCGCAGAAATCGGCGATTAAGTGAAATGAATACTATAACAAAACTACGTGGCGATCACCAAATCGAGTCCGCTAATCAACAAATCGGGCATGCCGGATAAAAACAATAGAACACATTTTAGCTAGAAAAAATCTATGAGCACGATCGATACAAGAATACCATTGATCACAAGTGGCAATGACCTTCAGGGTACATGGTCTAGCCGACAAGGACATGCATTAGCGGGAGAAAAACTTTCAGACTGTTACACGAAGCACGAGCAGAAAGCTGAAATGGGTGACTGCTTGTTACGACAATAAGTATTCGAATGACATACCCGAACGCGGTGGCGAACACAACTGCTCCTTGTGATGCACGTAGGAAATTATCCACTTCGAAGTTTGCACTAAAGCTGACAGCTCCGGTGCCAATTGAGCGCCGAATTGTTCCGCTTCACGCAACCGATTTAGCACAGCTTCGAGGTCTTCCAGCTTTACTCCGCCCAACCCTCCATCATCGGAACCATCGGTTTTCTCTGCCTCACCAACGAATTCAGCAGAGTCGGAAGTAGAGCACGGGCATTCAACAGCCGTTGCGGAGTGTCTGGGATGCGGTGGATGGGTTGGAATATAGTCCAGTGTCGATTCGAGTAAGTTATCCCATATACTGACCAGAGGTTGGAACTAAAACGAATAAGGAGTGTTGTTACTGAAATGCTTCGTTTTCCTCATACAGTCCTTGTGTGAAAACAGGGTGCCTATTAATACAAAAAAACAGTAAAGCTGGTCGATTCTCCAAAAATGGAGCAATCAACCGGCTTCATGGAACGTTAACTCGGACCTCGAAATCAGATCTGGAAAAACACTGGTAGACTTGTTCTAAACGGATGAAATTGTTCCGTTGTCTGACTGTCATGTTTCTGCGCAAGATATGCTGAAAAGGGACATTGTTAATGGTCTCCCACTTCGCCATGCGGTTTGCACCTGCAACTCACTAGGATCTGAAGGTATTTGGTCACAAATGCTTCGGTAGTATTTCAGGCGTCATGTAGCTGCATGATGTACGCAAAGAAGTAGTTAGTAAAAGTGTAGTAGGTAAAGGGTCGGATTCACTCGAATAGCAGATAGGCCTCATCGGATTGGGATGGTTAAGGTACTTATTACGTATACTCGACCACTGTCTACCAAACCATGCTGTTTCTTCACTCTTGTCGTTGGGGAGAGACCATGACTTGGCAGCACCAAATAATACCGGCTGCTACAAAGTTGAGCGACATGGGACCTTCCCGCCTTCCTGAGTATGGCGCACGTGCATCGCCTTACATGTGATAGGAAACCCTAGAAGGTATGACATAGCCTATCCCAATGGCGAGTTTCCTATCGCTTCTTAGCCGGACTGCCTTGTCTGTCGTGTGCTGGGCTTATGTTGGGTGAGGTCTGCTGGGTCAAACTCACTGGTGGAGTATTGTTTCAACATGTTGCTCAAATGTATTCCTCACAACGGTTTTGAAAATTTGGACGTCTTCTCCAGAGAAATGTTTTTTTTTACATTAGGTCTTCACAGATCACCCTTCTTTTCAGTCCTTACTAGGTTTTTCTTCCTCCACGGTTTTACGGTAGTTACACAGCAACCCCCACTACTGGTCAGCAGACCTCTGCTGCCTGGCGTTAGGATGTTTGACGAATGAATACAAATAGGTACAACTTCCAAAGCAATGTAGATCACAGATACAACTCTCTTCTGCCTCAAATACCTCAAATAGTCAACCCCGAAGAAACAACCGAAAGTTGGTATTAAGAGGAAACCCAATTGTGATTCGGCTGAACATTTCGTTGGGGGACGAGATGGCCCAGGTGGTTAGAGCGCGAATTTACTGACCACAAGGTCCGCGGTTCGAGACCGACCTCTGCCTGTTGACTTCCTCTGTCTAGGCTTGGGCAACCTGGCAGTATTCCAGCCCTCGTGCTTCCTTTGGGTGGCATAGCAGCTAGGCACCGGAAGGGTGCTACAGCTGAACGTTTTCGTTTATCATATCCTTCGAAGTTAGTGGTCTAAGGTTTTGGTCGATCTTAGGAGCAGTGACGCTCTGGGGAACTAGGGATTTTATTCAAAAATAGCGAGTACGAGTTGTATCGTATTCACGTCATAAAGTAGAATCAGACGAAAGCCGTTAAATGATTTGAAGGAGATATTGCCGGAGACTCCAGTTAGCTCGTACAATCTGTCCATACACGGAGATCAATCTTACAAACTAGCATCCGAAGATATTCCTCCGTATAAATCCGCCTTCCAAGAAACGGCCACTCTCTAGCTGGGGGTTTCCGTAGATGCGCAACTTCGGAAATAGCAGAAATGCACGAACAAATAAACCAACAGGTAACAGCCAACTCGTAAAGTCAATCGCAAAGCGACTTTTAAAGGGCGACAAGGGCAAGTTACATATAAAGTAATCGTAAGAGAAACGTTTCTGTACAGAAACCAGTCTACCGCTGTATGCTTGAGCCGAAAAAGACATCTCGACGATCACGTAAATTTCCCTGCACACTAACAGTTAGAGGGCCCTGAAGCCAATTTCTCGTGGAAAGGGTCTTCGCATTTTGTCGCCACTTGAAATGGGGTTATTCCTGCTCCTGGTGTGGAGTGGCTGTAGCGATCGGAACTGCCACGGATGGTCACAGGAAGATAAAAACGATAAGATTTTTCGGGTGGTGCTTCGATCGTCAGAAACGGATGGAACTGGTGGGTACCAATAACAACACGAATTCGCAACGACGAAAAAACCGCCAATTTACATACACGGTTCACAGAGGTGTGTTGCACACCCTCACAACATTAAATCGGCATGTCATGTGCCCTATTCATGAAAAAAACACAGTGGAAACCGTTGTGTCTAAGGTAGAACAAGACAGGTAAACGCAGTCTCAACGGCTAGTTAGAACGGGTGTTGCACACCTGCATGAAATTCCCCAGCTGTGCAAGACAGTCGGCTGGTACATGGCTCGAGGGACTTGAATTTTGAAACCGTTTACCATAGGGTCCTATCCGGTGAGCCACGGTAGGTACTGATGCGATTATTGCAGTGCTTTTCGAGATCCAAACGATAAATTTGCCCTTTTAAGTCTAACATTGTTGGTCACCGAGCCCTATTCACAAGTGTCACGTTTGGAAATTATTATGGATACAGTTTACTGCTCCAGATTAAGACCGGTGGCCATGTACAGCAATCCAGTAAGTGAGATTGCCGGATGCTTTACCAACCGGATTCCCCAAGTCCCCACAGAATCCTTTAGTTCTTCCCCAGATGTTGGGATTCCTTCCCAAATAAAAAACGGCCATCTGTTCCTCAAATGTAACAGCTGGAGGTATTTAGCACGTCCTAAGGGTTTTGGGCTCAAACCAACCAAACTGGTACAGCTAACGCTGTCGGTACATTTCGAACGCACAGAGGCTATCTACTTTAACAAAGAATATCAGTGCACATAAATCGCGATGACATACTAGTGATCATTTATGGTCGTTGGCTTGTTCACTGAGCGTCTCAAAAGAGTGCTGCGCAGGCCGAAGCAATCCGGAGTCTTGGAATCTATAAGATTCGAGAAACTGATCAGATCACGACGGCACTCTCACGGATTAAGTCATTAATAAACACTGATTGGATTAGGCAACATAAAACGCAAGTAGACCCCTCCAATCCTGTCGTGGATAGACCGTGAACCAGAGTGAGTAAAAACCGTGAGCAGATGAGGTGACCAGCGTACAAAAATGGTTCTAGGTGGTCGTGTCTAGTTCTTCGGTGTGTATGATAGAGACAATGTCCAGTGAAATCCAAGAAAAAATGATCCCTAGCCTATCAATGTCGGTGACGAAAGTCGACCTTAACTTATCTAAGAGAATTTTGAACGTGGCTTGAGCGGTTGACCCTGAGCTGTCAATAAACCGACAACGATCAAACTTTGTTCATGAGAATGAAAAGCCCGTACGATGGTTTCTAATGAGACGACTCGTTGTACAACTGGGTTAAAGAAACCAGACCAAAACACAGTGAAACTGAACAGTGTTAAGACAAATCACAACATATCAGCGGACAAACAAATCAACAGACTCACCTCATAAAACTGTTTGTCAATATCCCCGATCAGTCTTGTAATTCTAGCTCGCCTTTTGTATTGCTTCCAAAACATGGTAAAGCGTGTTCGTATCTCTGTTAGCTGGACCAGTATGTGTTCGAGAGTGATTACGTGGAATACGCGATCCACAGGAAGATCGAACGCCTCTCCGCGATGAGCCTGAACCGTCTCGGATTGGTTCGCAGTTTGTTTGGGATCACTGGAACGATGGTCACCGTTGACGGCCACCACATCTGACATCGTACGTAGCTGGTGTCTTAACCGCAAACCCTCCAGTTCCAAGGCGATAAGTGCATCTAACCACTGTCGCCATTTCTTTTTGAGCTTGCATACAACTTGCGGTGTGTAGGCTGGATTCAGATTCGGGGGAGTGGATGTGCTTTCAAAATCACTAAAAGACGTTCTGGATTCGTTTCGCTTCAATATGGCCAATAAAGCCTGTTCCCGGTTACGTAGTTGTTCTACTTTGTCACGGAATGTTTCAACGCTCTGTAAAATCAAGTAATCCGACAGATTCATTGAGTGTGTTTCGAAAACTCGCTGAAGTATCCCACAACTAATAGCGTTAGTCAGTCACACACATAACTAGCAGATATCGAGCAAGCTGCCCAAATCGGCGGAAAAGCAAGCAAAGCATGTTTCCTGGTTCTGTGTTGCGTCAAATGAGGAAGAACAAAGATGTATGGTGATGGTGGTGGTGGTGGTAGTGGACAACGGTCCTGATTTGCATATAAAATGAGGGTTTGATCCTGCACAATTCTGATTGGCCTGCGAGCGCACGCCAATTTGTCAATCAAATAAGGACTTGATGATCAAGGGCGCAGCAGATTATGCTGGCGGCAGCTAAATGTTAGGGCAGTTAGGTACACCTTCACCATGGAAAAAACACAACAGATTATGCACTACTCTAGTGAGTGCAGCGGAAGATTAGTGTGAGTCGAGTACGACATACATGTGGGGTCGAGGTGAACGTTGGTGCTGCAAAACATCGGTCCAAAATATGCTGAAGAACCTGAACGAGAAGTGAAAGTAGATGGGAGCTACACAGAGGACACTCGGGCACTAAAGTTGGGAGGACGTGGGTAGAGATGAGGTCAGACAATGGAGGCCAGTGGTTAAGTGAAACCAATGTGCACTGCACAAACGGATTTTCCTAACCCATGTAAAACATTAAGATCGGTGTTGCCAGACTATAGAGGCAAGTGATCACGTCCGAGCATACAAAGCCTACAAAGACAAATGAATCAGCTATAAACAGCTAGGAACCTGGGTCCAATAGTACATAGTACACTGTCATAGCTTCAGTCAAGGATGAAGGGGAAAAAGACCAGGCGTCGCTAATATGATTCTTTCAAAAAGCTCCAAGATTCATGTCCGATCATTCCAAGATTTTTATGGGAAAATACTTCACACGATTCCGGGGTGTGAAAACTTAAGGAAAGCACAGTTACAATCCTGTGAAATGATGGTGTGATGGAATACCTGTACACGGAAGACGGCTAGAATGAAATAACGAGGACGAAAAGATACACGAGTACGTAATTAACTAAGTGCCTATTGACACATGACATCATGCTGATCAGAATACATGTATCCTCAAAACTCAACATGGAGGATTTTTATCTTCACGTGAGATAAGTTTTTAGGTCTTATTAATTTTAGATTATCAGTCGGCACAAACTAAACAAATCGGGATCAAGCAGGAAAGTTGTCTAAATCTTACCAGAGGTTGTGTCAGACACAACGTTGTATGACTTCAGTCTCCTTAACACAAATGTCACGATTGAAAAGATTTCAAATCAGAAAAATGCGGTAAACCTGTCATTCTCCTTCTGACTCATAATCGGCGTGTTTGAGGAAATAACAACAAAGATGACAGTTTGGAAGAGTTAACTTGAGGAACGAAAAGATCACTTGCAATGTACACGGCTCAAACATCTGTTTACCACAATTCTGCAGTCTCCCGTTTTCTAGTTCCGCCTCCAGTAGCAACAGCTTCGTACGTAGACCACTTTTGTAAAGCGCTCCTTGATAGGTATTCCTGACAAGACCTTAACGCATGTCGGATAAGCAGCCCATCTGCATGCCGTCCGTGGTTAGTTTGTATGCTAAAAGTTCACCTCATGATGCATAGGGGTTTGTTTGACTTGACTCAACCAGGATACCGTTAAAGGGTTTACAAAAAATCGGGTCTGTCGGTAAAACAGAAAGGTGTGGCTACTGTGATCGTCAGGGTCCGAAGGGGTCCGTCGAAAGGTGGTCTCCCTGAAGATCACCAGTCGATTAGGTCTTTCTTCAGAATTGATTGATTGATGAGAAACAGAACATGGCGATGTGGCGCTTTCTAGAATGTAAACCCCTGAATATACGAGGGTCGGTGCACGATCGGGTTGCACAAGTTTGAACGAAAGCAACCACAGTTCCCAGGACGTTTTACGAACAGGAGACAAGTTAGCACCCAATGAATGAACGGATAGCGGATCCCGTCGGACATGGAAAAACAACTTGTTTGACAGTGCCAAAAATAAGGAACCGACAATGACACGGCATAGGCTTATCTCGAACACTAAAACGATTTACTATACCACCACAAGTAAAAAAAGCCCGGTTTGAAATCGGTACATTGGTGGCGGGAAAAGTATCGTGATCATCGTAGACAACGTCGAAACGCACTACAAAAAAGCAGCTGAACCATCCCGAATATTCTTTTGCTTTCGCTGTGATCGGCATTCATTGGACACTTTGAATTACCCACCTAGGTGCGTAGTAGGGGAAATGGACTGAAACCCGGATACCATATTAGTTAACTTGGGAAAAACACGTGAAGGAAGGGGGAAGGATTGACTAGAGGATAATAGACTGGAAGAATGGAGCAAAGCTTCAAACAACATAGATTCATGTATCAAGTTATCGGTCATCGTTGAATGAGACGACTACTCACGAAAACAATACGAAAAGGTAGCCAGTTTGAGGATCAGCGAGTCCCACGACCTAAAGCCAAAGCAATCACCGTGGCTCCAAAGCGTGTGGCACAGCGAGTCCCACGACCTAAAGCCAAAGCAATCACCATGGCCCCAAAGCGTGTGGGTTACAGGTGAAGGCAAATGCACAGCGATTTCCCGAAAGGTGCTGTTGTTCTGACTGTCTTCGGTGGTAGTTCTCTTACCAAGGTGAAACATGAGGCACGCAACAACTTCGCTGCCTACTAACATGCCGGAGGAAAATCAAAGCTTCCTCATTATTGTCACCCTGGAAGCAGGAAGCACGAAAGACAACCAGAATAAATTCGACAGAGCGAAAAACGATCGGAATAGCTTGGTTATCGCCTAATACAACAGGTTTCACCAAGCCAGAGATCGGTCAGAACCTTAAAAGCACTGTACAGAACAAGGATGCTGCGCCGTCTCCTAGAAAGTGAAGCAAAAATAATTATAGTATAGTGAACAGCTATCTCTGATATCTCCCGACAAGAATAGGAGCATGCGCGTCACTTAACGACGGTCAATTATTTTCGGCTTCGATACAATACAGAACAAGCACTGATCGAAAAGAAATTACACGAGGCATGCTCTAAATCTTGACAAAGTAATCCACCTGTACGGAGCAAACAGGCACCCAAATCAGACTACCGAAGAAGCTGTCATCATCATCATCCTCATTGTCAGCTGTAAGAACCACGTATTCGTCGTACAGTGGTTGTAGCTGCCGCAGTTTCGTTCACCGATAGCTTGGGGGGAGGGATAGGTAGCTGCGCGTTGCAGGCAGGAGCTGATAAATTGGGGCATAGATCCAGCACTGTCAGTGGGCTGTCAAC